TAAGACAAAATAAAATTATATAACAAAGGAATTGCTGCTTACTGAAATATTGCACAATATTCTTGAAGTACAAGTAACTATGAGAAACATTTCTTATATAACAATTTTATTTGTCACGTAGTGCCACGTATTGATAAATTGTAGATTTTTGTTAGAATGACAGAATAAATAATTGTTTAAATTGTTTAAAACTCTTTATACAGAATGTAAAATTGTAAGTATCTATTTCTTATGTCTGCTTACTGTCTTTTAGACCTGTTACACAATGGTAAATATAAAGTGAAAAATTATACCTGCCATAAACCGGCAGTACGTGTTTAACAATGATTACGAGGTCAGTACGCTACGCAAATGAAAAAGTCGCAGGCCTTGTGGATTCAGTAAGTAGCCAGCGTTCAAATGACTTTCGACAGTCGAAGTGCGAGGATGTTACAGTAGGATAAGAAAATGTAGTTGTCTTGTGAATTCAACTTTGTTTATTATATGGATAAGTGAAAGCGATAGCAACAGTGATAGTGATCGATACTGACAGTGATAGTCGTGTATAGTGATAGAATTTGTGTAATCAAAATTTGATTTCTAAATCTTTTTGTGGAACATTAGCTGGATTTTGAAGAGAGTGCATCGAAAAGTGAGTGCTAATTTCTGCATTACAATTAAATCACGTCATGGATCAATCAAGTGTTACTCATTACAGCACTAATGCAATTACAAAGTGAGGTGTGTTTTAAGAAAAAGGAAATGAAAACTGCAACCCTAAAAATATTAATTGATCTCATCTTTCGTTGACATACGAAAGAAATCTTTTCGTACATTTATAGTGATTCGTGATCAATGACATTTATTAAAGTAGCAAGTTCGTTGAACCAAATGAAATTCTGATTACTTTCTTTGCATGTAAGTTATTCTTTAATATCTTGAATTTATGCGTACAATAATAATAATAGCACACAGGATTGAGTAACGATTTGTCAAAATTAAAAATTTGGTAATTTAATTTATAGTGGAAGGCTGACAAATTTATTGAATTAAATTGATTGTTATTAATTATTACTATTACATATACAATCGATCATTAGGAATCGAAAAGTAAAGGCTCTAAATTGAATTCGTAGCTAAATTATAATTTTTAATATTTTTATTGAAATATAGAATATATGTAGATAGAAATTAAATTTATAACCAATTGTATATGTCCTATTCCGTATTAACATGTATTGTTTGTACCAAGTAATCGTAAAAATTTGAAGTTAAAATTTAAAGCAAAGCTTTAAGAAAACCACAAATCTTAGTATACATGTTAATAAAATTACTCGATAGAATCAGAAGCAAGGAATATTAAGAAAAAAAAAATGTAGCATGGAATAGTACTAGAAGTGTCGGTGTTTGAACAGCGAAGTCCGCGTAGGCGAGAAAAGTGCAAGAATGGCATCCGCGCAACCCGAAGGGACGCGCCATTTCGCATGCACCGGTAATTGCAAGCTGTAAAAGGAACGGCCATAAAGCCTTATGTATCAAAGGTGAAGTTTAATATCTACCGCAACTCCTTGTAGTAAAGAACTTTCAGTAAAATAGGAGAGACGCGCGCGAAATATTCATAATAAAGTTCTATTAGCCCATAAAACTTACTAAAATATATTAACAGATACGGCCGCGCCTTACAGTCATTGTTTTCCGACAGGAATTAATTAAAACAGTTCATATTCCGAAATTTCCGCAAGCTACTGCAATCTTGCACCGCGAATGCAAATGTACGATATTGCATCGTTGTGCGCTCGCAGCCTCGAAATGCAACTCGCGCGCATCCATCACGACACTTTGAGCCTTGTCCATACAAAATATTTCGCGACGACGACGCTTCCGTGCAGTATTTCTTTGCGCAGTAAACACAATATTTTCTATAAAATTTGTTCGACTTATCCTACACGATCGGAAAGCTCGAATTTATTGGCTTTCTCTCGCGCGAGATATCTGCTCGGCTTATCGAATTAAAAATCGACATCGCTGGAAACAAAAACGTAAGAGAATTTTGTTGTTCTTACATGAATTTCAACGGAAATATTCTCGAAGTCTTGTGTATCACATTAGAAATATGCAAGTTTTTATAGATTATTTAATAGGTTTAGTTTTG